ATGCTGCAATGCTTAGAGGGTTTAGGATGGATTGCTTCTATATGGACTTCCTGGTATCAAGTTGAATACCTGCTTTCAGGAGGTGTTTCCTGTGGCAGGCTTGCTGTCCTGCTGCCTTCAACACCTCCTACCTTGGTCACATGAATCAGAAGGAGCTTATTTTAATTTTCCTAACACTTTCTTCTTTGAAGTTTCCATCCCTGAAAACACAGCAGGCTGCTGAACCTGAAAGCTTTTCTCTTCGTGCACAGGTATCAACTCCACAGACTGTTTCCCCGACACCAACACCAGCTGACATGGCTGCAGGTGCACATCTACCTGATCAGGCTCAGCCCCTCCTGACAGGCAGGGCTCACACCATCACGGCAAAGCTGACAGCCTGGGAGACACTGTTTTGCAGCGGCTGTTACACTGCACATGCTGAAGTGACCAGAGAACTGCATAAAGTTGTTCACCCAAGTGTGGTGCGGCAGCCCCACCTTTCCCACTGTGGTGGAGCAGCTACTTGTGTCAACAGGACAGGCCAGCCCCAACTCCCCCAAGCACAGGTTCCCTGGCTCCATAGCACTTCCTCCCCACTGATTCCCACCACCTCTCCTCCTTGCTAGAAACTTGTCTGCACAAGTCAGTGAGCCCCAGGCCCTAAGCTTGCTCTTCACCCCAGGCTCCCAGGGACAGATATCCTCTTCCCCCAGCCACCCTGAGCTGTGCAAGCTTTTCCTCCGCTCCCCCACCCATGCATGACCTCACCTCTGCAGGCACTCCTACTGCAGCTGGGTGCATAGCCACTCGGAAAGCCCTTCTGCCTCACTGGTCCCTTGAGCATCCCCTGCTTGCTAAGCTTCTCAGCCCAGATCTGCTCTCAGCTCCTCCTCCTGTGATGACTCTTTCCTTCCCATCCCTCAAGTCAGTACCTGCTCTCTTTGTCTGCTGTTACACAGCTTCCCTATTAAAATCAGGCTCTCTGCCTCAGAAGTAACATCAGCACACTGTAACGCCTGTCTCTGAATAACGAACTCCAGGTACTGCAGTAACAAGCCCCATGGAGATATCTGCAAAACACGAAAATACAGCAGATCATTGAAAAGGAGCACCCTCTCCCAGAGCTGCAAATCTCATCAGGGAGACTCCAAGCTGCCCTCGAGGCTGCAGAGCAACTCCTCTCTTTACTGCTGCTGCTGCTGCTAATCCCTGCTCCCACTTCCAGGTCATTAACTCTCTTCCCCACCCAGCTGCCTCTCCCAGTCTTTCTGGCCAGGAGGAGTAACTCTTTCTCATCCTCTCATCCAATGCTACCTTGGTCTCTGACATTATTTCTTTTTTCTCTTTAAATAGCTATGTAGAAATTCTCTGCATTCATATATTCATCATGTTCCAGAGGGAATGAACTAAACAAATCTTTCATTTCCCACTCCTTGCTCTCGTGTTTTACTCCACTGTTTTACTCCTTATCTCTCCCTAAGCAAATTGCCCCCGCCAAAGCCAGGGCCTGGCAAAGTTCTGCTGGCTCTTCACATCAGATAGCTTCACCCCAAGATGAGCATCTAACCCTGTACTTAAAAGGGAACTCAAACACTTGCCTTCCCTTGTGGGGATGCGTCTGCTTTTGAACATATCTGCCCTTCCAGATCAGCTCCACTAAAAGCTCCTTCGCTGCAGAGAACAAAGCACTGCGCTTAGGGGTTTATGGACTGACTCCTACCCTCTTTGTCTCCGTCCACAGAGATCCCCATAGGAGCTCCTCTTCCACTGTATTTGCTCAGATCTGTCAAAACAGAGCTGCTCTTCAGTAACCTTTACTCATTCCACCAGCCAGACAACTTGCCTCCAAAACAAGTCACAACTTTCTGGTACCAGGATAAATTAAAGTTGAGTCCTCCCCTGCTCCATGGTGTGAGAAAGGAAAGCACATACAGGAAGAGAGCTGCCCAAGTGCCGCTCCCCCACCGCAAACCCATTAAGCATCTATTGAGGTACGAAGAAAAAGGAAAAATCTCTCTGGTGCACAATTTTCACCCTAGAAAAGGCAATCAATCAACTGTAACTCCATAGATGAATTCACAGGGCATGAAACACTCCCAAAGGCAGCAGAGGTATCCAGGCTGGGCTCAGCCCATCAACCCCACTAGACAATATCACTCCCAGCATTTCACAAGTCAAACCACCTCCTGCTTCTGACACAAGGAAGGAGTCTTGCTCCCAGCACATTACCTAATTCCTCACAGTCCCCCAGTGTGAAAGTCAAAATACCTTTCTGTGCTTCCTGAAGAGCAAGAAAATCGCATTCAAAGTGGTATACATTTCTTCATATCAAGCAAAGAGCGCTCTTCCATTCTGCAGCAGAGCAGTCCAGAGACAGACAGGAAAGCACCAAGAGAGAACAAACTTCACTGCAGAACCAACAGGGAAAGGGAGAAGAGACCTGTGGCCCTGCACACTGCAGAGGTGTCTCCTTTCTGCTCTGCTCTCTGTTCTTACGATCAAAGGAAACAGCTTTCCATCTTAAAGAAGGGCTGGATTATGTCTGGAGTATGAGGAAGTGGCTGGGTATGTTTTGTGGGAGGGGAGGTTAGACGCATCACTTCTAAGTTTCTTCTGCACCCAGGCAGACATTACATGCCATTTCAGGTCACAGAAGAAAGCTTGTAGCCTGTGACATTCTTCTTACTGCAACACTTGTAACCAGGACAGCAGTGCCACAGTCCACTGCTGATTTGGACGGGCACATCAGAGCGCTCTGCTTTCATGGCTATCCATTACCCTTGCATTGCAAGACCCAGGCTTTCCTTCCTCTTTCCAGAGCTGTGAACGCAGCAAAGAGTGCCAAATAAATAAAAGGTAAGTCTGACTCCATGATGCCAACGCAGGAGTTCTTTCAATTCCTTGGAGTCTTCAGGAATCTCTCCCAGCAAGCCGTTTTCAGCTATATACACAAAATAAAATGGGCAGAGGCAAAGGCCAGGATGAAGGATCTACAAAACTTTGCTACCTGCTCCAAGGCAAACAAAGTCACATTCTGATTCCTTGCTGGCCACACGGCAGGTTAGGCATGAGCACAGCTTAGACCCTGAAACTGAGTGGCTAACAGTGAGGCTCTGCAACACAGATCTATGCTTCGAAGGAGACTCTAAAATCACATTATTTTGACTACAACCACACCACCGAACTACACATTTCTTCCTAGTCTTCATTAGCCTTACATGCCTCCTATGCCCAGTCCTCCAAATTACAAACGCAACATGTTCCGGACAAGACTTGAGCACACAGGCTTCTACAGATATAGAAGTGGAACAGTTTGCTTGCCAAACTGCAGTATTAAAAAAAAAACCCAAACCACACATATACACATGCTTCCTTGGACATGCATACAACACTTTTCTGAGCCAGTCCTTAAACTCCACAACTGCACTAAGTGCCAGACAAATTCAAGACTACCAGAAAAGTTCCAGCGTACCCAAATTTCTACTAATTCTAAGCCCACCTTATCATAACATCATATTCTGCTAAGGCCATTCTAACACATCTAGCTTGGCAACATCAAAACTGAGAGTGACAGAGACTCTGCGCATCTGGGAATACAGACTGTGCCTTCTTGTGAGGAATGCTGTGCTCAGCAACATGGCTGTTATACCAAAGGAGAATCATTTAATCTGTAGCAATTTATCCTTTCAAGTGTTCCTATCCATAACTTCCTAATCTCACTCCTCCAGAAAATGCCTCAGAAGAACAGTTCCCTTTCTATTGCTTCTCAGTACTCTCCCACTCCGACACGAAGTGACAACAGTTTATTGCACTTTGCTCCAACAGGAGCATGGCAGCTGCTCCCATCTGTCAGGCTTCCTCCTCCTTGATAACCGTGGCTTGTCTGTTTCTGCAGCCAACTCTGCCATGCCCTGCCCACCTCTGTGAGCAGCGCTCGCCCTCAGCTTCACGCCAAATCTCTTTTTCCAGGTCTGTAGGGTATGAGACTCATGTCTCTTCCATAGTCATTGTTCCCTTTGGGCCAACTTTCAAGGGGAACTAACTACCACCTTCTCTGATTTCTTAAGATCTCGGTGACGTGTTATCTGGAAGAACAGCTTGAAGTAGATAGAATGAAAGATTTCATTCCTCCCCAAAGATGAGCTGTACATGCACACTGCTGTACCGAAGGTACAACCTTACCTCTTCTGAATTCTCTGCCACACCATCCTTCCCGCTACTGCTGCTGCCAGGCTTTGTGGTGCTTTTGGTAGACTTCGGTGACTCCTGAAAGGATAAAATATATTCAGAGAAAATTTCACCTTGTTCAGAGTTTTACCATCTCTCTGCAGAGTTCAGGTGTGCACTGACACAGACTACCCCACCTCCACCCCTGCAGTATGCCCCGTTTCAGGCATTTACTCCCAGCCCTCTTCCGCTGGGAAAGGCACCCTGAACGGCTCCCCTGGTAGCGGACGCCTGGGGCGGAGGCCACGGACCAAAGCACAGGAGCGCTGCTGGCACATCCCGTCCCGGTCACCGCAGGCTGACCCCGGCCGGGCACCTGCGGGTGACAGGGCCCCGCGCCCACCCAGCCCGGGCCAGCCCTTCACCGGGGCGCGGCCGCATCTGAGACACAAGGTGTCAGGGCACCCACAGCCTCGGCCCGGTCGCCCCGGGCGGCAGGATCCGGGCCCTCACCCCGCCAGCGGGCAGCGTAGCGGGGCCAGGACGAGGGTGTGGCCGTACCTCCCCCACCGGGAGCATCCCCGCGGCCCTCGGAGCGCCCGGGGCGGGGCGGGCCGGGCCGGGCCGGGCTCGTGGGGGGGCACCGGCGGCCGCCCCTCCCGTCTTCTCTCCCTTTCTCGCTCTCCCGGCCCGGCGCGCGCCCCCGCCGCCCTCCTGCGCCACCCGCCCCGCCCGCCGCGGGCGCGCGCCCCCGCCCCCTGCCGGCCGCAGCCCCGCGCGCGCCCCCGCCCGAGGGCCGCGCCAAGGGAAGGCCGCGGCGGGGAGGGGCGGCGGGAGCGAGCGGCCGGTCACCGCGCCGCGAGCAGGGGCTCCCCCGGCGCCGTCGCCGCTCCGGGGCCGCACCTTCTCCTTCTTCAGCTTGTAGGGCATGGTGAGCACTGCACCCCAGCCGCTCCGCGCCCGCCGCCGCCGCCGCCGCCTGCGCCCGGGCCCGGCCGCAGCGCCCCGCTCCCATTGGGCCAGCCGCGCCGCCCTGCCTAGCAACAGCCTTCGCCGCCGCGGCGAGCCGCTGACGCAGGGCGGCCGAATTTTCTCATTGGCCACAAGGCGTGTGGGCGCTGGGCACGCCCCCGGAGGCGGGGCGGGGCGGGGCCGGCCGCGGGCGGCTCTTCCGGGGCAGCGGCGCCCGCCGAGCCAGGACACAGGTTGGGCTGGGCTGGGCTGGGCTGGGCTGGGCTGGGCTGGGCTGGGCTGGGCTGGGCTGGGCTGGG